TGACGTAGCGACCTCGGGCGGGATGAGGGCAGAAGAACTGACCTCTTGGCGAGACTTCTTTGAGGCCTTCCTCTTTTTCCCCCCTCTGAAAGCTCCTCAGAAGGGTCTCTGCATCGACCTCCGGCATGGCTATTGCAAGAGAAAAAAGAAAAAGGTTAGTCGCGAACTTGAAGTAAATTCAAAATAGAAAAGAATATGAGCACCGAGGTGGAAGCCTACCAGGAGGGCTCAGCCTAGCTCGCACAAGCTTCTCGGCCAAGAAATCTCTCATCTCCAGGCCGAGGTCCCTTCAAGAGTTAACGACCGCCTTGGTCTCCGCATCTAGCCTCACCCAGGGTCTTTAATGGCCACCTGCCAGTGAGTCGGGAAGGGCCACCCCTTAGGGTTCAAGACCAAAAAGTATCTCCTCTTCTAGGCCGGTATTTTGTTCGGTCTGCCGAACAGGATTTTGAACCCGGGGCGAGGAGAGATGTAGTAACTCTTTTTCTGATGTCCCCGCATAGGCAAGCGGAGTTCTTTTTGATCGAACAAATCGAGCTAAAAATGTCTAGGGACAGAGGTCGGTTATACTCGTGGAATAGGGAGATTGTACCTACTATAGTTCGGATGGAATTCGGGTGTAATTGGTCAATGTTGATATCAAAGAATTTAATTATTTCTACAATGAATGGGTGGAGCGGGAAGCGTAGCCTAGCTACGAGCTACTCTTCGAAAACCGCGAGCTCATGGTGACCATGAACACAACGGGACCGACCTAAAGGAATACTGAATACAAGGTTATCGAGAAGACGATAACGAGCTACCGAGGACATTAACTTGTCCGAGGTCATAGTGGATGGATCGAAGTCATCTAGATTTCGACCCCGAGAAGAAGATGGGACCCCCTCTCTGGAGGTCGGTCCCTCCTCCCGAGCTACAGGCTCCTCAGGCTGAGATGACCCGACTTTGGGTATAGAAGTTTCTCCTAAGGGGCGAGGGGGGAGCTGCCTGGCGAGGAGCTGACCTCGCCAACGGGAGCCGAGGACTGCACCTTGGTACCCTCAAGCTCAATAGAGTCACTAAGAAGCCTATCTATACTAGCAAAACTGGAACATGAAAGGAGAATAAACTAACGAAGAAAAGATGAACTCACCAAAAAGATGAAAACAACCTCGGAACACAAGGGAAGAAGTGACGAGCTAAAAGACTCCGACGCGACCTCGAGAGAGCTCAATCACAAGATTTTTGGCGAAGATGGGTCCCTCGGCCCCCTATTTATAGCTCACTGCATGGCGATCAACGGCTAAGACCTGGTCGATCCAACGACTCTCATGAAAATCGGTTGCACGACACATGAGGACGAAATCGATTGAGCATGCTCTTTGACGTCCATGGAGTCTATAAATAGCGTGACATCCGCATGTATCCAGGACACGATCTAGGTCATTTTGTGGTTGAGCCAAATTGTTGAACAGGCCCGACCAACGGTTCACCCTTCAGATTGTCCAGACCCCATACCAAATCCACTTAGATCGTCTATGAACTCCCCGCACTGGGTTGGGACCCCTAGCACGAGGAGTGGGGACAATTGATGAAGGGTTATTTGGCGCGACCTAGCGAGAAGGGGACACATGGACACAACCTAACTAAGGGATGACAACTTAGCCTAGCAAGCCTAGTTTGCAACGTTTGAGCATGGGTGTTCGGTCACCTCGGTGTAGAGTCACCTCGGCATAGAGTCACCTCGGCGTCAGGTTACCTCGGTATTCAATCCAGTTCGGAACTAAAGAACCAACGTATTTGCTCGAGGATACCAACCCGAACCGCCACGTAATGACTCCGAAAGTTTCTCCAGTAGACTCCGAACCTCATAGGATCACGCCGCGTAACGACCGACCTATTATTCTCCCCGCCCGGATCGGTCAAATTTGGTAATTTGTATTAATCGATACATTACTCCCCAATTAAAGCGGAAACGGATCCCCTCAGGACGAAGATCCTGGAACCGATCCGCGAAACCCGCGAGAGCTCAACTATATAAAGGCACTAACCCCAGTGACACAAGGTACGCGTGATTTCTCTACTGTCTAGCTCTCTAGCTCTCGAATTCTCAAAGCATTCATCTCACACCACAGTATACTAACTTAAGCATCGGAGCGACCTCGCCGGATCAGGCACCCTGGGTTCTCTGATCCGTTGTTTTGCAAATTCACCTAGCTCGTTGCTCGATTGGAAGCCAGATCCATCCTCCATTAGGGTGTAGTCAGATCGTGCTACATCATTAACCTTTTACATATTATACCAAAAGAAAATTATAAATATTCTAATAATTATTGAAAAACTATTTTTTAAAATTTTAATAATATAGATTTAATATTATTGATTCTATAATGTAAATTGTACCACTAGAGGGTCATTCATTGGTTCAAAAAAGAAAAGAAGAAAAAACATTGAGGAGAGATTCTTAAATTTTGCTTTATTTTGAGAGAAAAAACAAAACATCTACTTTTCACTCTTATTATATTCCTAAATTCATATCCACAGAATTCCAGCCCTGAATCACTCTCAAGGTCGATTAGTTAACTGAGAAGTATGGGGATTAAGCCTTTATGAGGGCTTATCAGGGAGAGATTGATTGACCCAAATAGACAAAATAGTTGTCCACGGTTACTACAGCAAGGGAGAGAGAGAGGAGGGGGAGATACAAGAGGGTTTCCGGTTACGGACTTACGTGATAATGATCGCCAGTGAGAGGAAAAAAATGGAGGGGACAGATTGAAGAAAAGAGAAAGGGAAGAAGAAAGTGGAAACTAGTAGAGGGGTAAAGAAGGTTTAGGGCGGGTTAGCAAAATTTAAATTTAATTTTTGAGTCAAGACTGCCGTTAGGTATGGACTCCGTCAGTCTCAGAGCGAGTGACGTGTTGGGTGGCTAATTGAATGGGACAGAAAATTTACTGTCCCGAGGGGAGCTCCGGGTCGTATGGTGAAATGTACGGTGGTAGATCAAGTTGATATAAAGGTTTGAAACATGTTCGTATCAAGTATCAACCATCCAGCATGCGAAGTTCTTGGGACATGTTTGGTACTGACTGACTCTCACTCATGGGAAAACCGGACAAATTCAGGATGGATTCAAATTTCAAAGGCTGCACCGCCACCGACCGCCTTGATATAAACCCGCTGAAAACAGTCGATGCACACTGACGCATGTGGGTTACAGACTTATTACAGTCCCAGTGGCTGTGGAGCAAAGCACTTTAATGGCTAGGCACCGTAGTTGCAGACTTTTGACGTGGCGGGATATTCAAGATGAGTCGTCGTCCGAAGTGGTTTAGGAGCAGTAGCAGAGTAGAATGATGAAGCATCTTTTTAAATTTTAACCAAGGAAAGCGTTGTTGGATTAAAGTCTTCCCTTGGAGATGGATGCTAGGCTTGTTAGCCTAACCTAAAACTAAAGCCTCCATATTGACATCAATTATAACAAAAAAGTAGTAAGCAAGCACTAACACTAATAAATTAAAGGAAGACTTGGGGCTTTAATTATTATGTATTAAACAGAGAATAGAGAAAGAGCGGGCTGTCATGTTTCAACTTTCAAGTGTGGGTTTAGCTTCCATTCCATGGTCCCCTAGATATGACACGTTGTGCTATGTTGCGTGTGAGGATAGATAAGAACAATACCAACCGGAAGCTGCGACGGTTTGAACCCGACCACGGGCCACGGCTTAGCTTATCTATCATAACTTCAACTCGATCATCAGCTTGGGTTGGGACCCATACGATAATTACTGTGTAATTTTACTTCGTATTGGCGAATTTATTGGAACCAAGGGGGCAGTGTTGAGAGTACATTACATTGAATTGGACCTGGGAATATAATGTCTGTATAACGGATGTAGTAACCCATCTGGCTTTTCCATGTTCTGTTGATAGGGTTCAACATATTCCACCCCAAATAACAACGGAGTTGGTTAATCGACCAGGCCTATTCTGTGTTGTCTTTTTCATTCATCCAAAATCCAAATGTTGGTATTGTCCTCAATAGGTGGTGGGTTGGGTAGCAACTATTCACCTTATCTGCTAGCCTACTGCCCCCCATCAATTCCAATCCCAGCAACCTGCTTTTCAATGCATCCAAGCAGAATTGGTGTTCAATCCTTACTTTCTTTGTGGGTGTTGGGCTAGGGTTGATTGATGTCGACAGACTCGCAGCCCCAGATCAGAATTTGGACCTAACGCGGCTCGGTTCAATGGTTCATTGCTGCAAGCCTGACACTGGATTATGGATTATATTGGGAGCTTATAGATCCTCATACATTGGCCAACGTGTATAGCAAATTTCAAATTTCTAAGTCGGACTGAGCTGATGACTGACTGATGAGCGATGATACCCGATAGCGACTACATACCTTAATTATTCTTAATACCTTAAACAACTTCTCCACCAACAAGAATTGACAGAGGAGTCAATGAGCAATGAAACGAGGTGTTGAAAAAAATATCAAATTCCAATTCCACACGGCATAGTTTCTAACTAGCGATGGAAAATATCCAAGTTATGTCCAAATGCATACAACAATCGAATTGGGCAAGGATTGGATTTGGGAGAAAAGGAGGGGCCAGACGCCGTGAGAGGCGGTGTGGTGGCCAACTGAAGCTGAAGCCGACGAACATTCGGCATTCATTAGCCCATTATTTAATAATTAATTTGGGCCCGAGTCCCGACAGAAAACCAACCCCCAAGCCGTTCGTTCATATTTCATAATCATAACAGAGTTCGGCTTCGGTCAGGGGGGGGGACTCAGGGCAGAGCCCGTTTGTGAATCGTGTTTTACCCAAACGGAGTCCATTTTTAACTACATGAAAAAAAGGGCGTTGTCTGTCGACTGTCGTGGTCTGATCGTACCTCTGGAGTAGGACTCACATGGTCGTCCCACTCCGTACTGTGCCCCGGACAGTATTTCTTCCTACTTTACACGTAACTCACCATCACCCTTCTCCATAAATTCCTCGTCACCCCCCCCGCCCCCCCTCCATCTCCCACACCCACTAACCCAGTCTCCAGTAGTGTTTTTTATTAATATTAATTCATCGTCTTCTTTTGTTTTCTGTTGCCGCCGCTGCTGCCTTCTGCTACTGCTCAGTGGTATCACCCATATGAGAGAAGAAACAAGGAGAGGAGGAGGAAGAAATGGAGAATCAAAACCTGACGCCGTCCCACCATTTGGATGCATCTCGGCCCTCTCTTGGCTTCCCTCTTGGCACGGCACTCCTCTTGATCGTCATATTCGGCTTGAGTGGGGTATTCTCTTGTTGCTACCATTGGGAAAAGCTTCGATCCCTCCGTCGTTCATTCTCGCAAGACACCACCGATGCCGACGAAGACACTCTCCAACAACCACCATCCAAATCTAAGCCCACTTCCATGGTTAGTAACCAACTCTTCTTAATTCCAAACTTCTCTATTCTTTTTTTTTTACCAGGATAAGATCAATAGATTGATATTTTCATTTCTGCATTAACTTGGGGGAGTTTTGATTTTTCTAATTGCTAATGATGATTTTTGCTTATTTTCCTTGTTGGGTGTCATCAGAGCTCCAAGCAGAATCAAAACGAGAGCTTACCAGTACTGATGCCCGGCGATCAGATCCCAAAATTTATAGCACTGCCATGTCCGTGTGAACCGCCGCGAGAGGAGATGGTCGCGATCGTAGTGCAGAAACCACCACCTATAGTGGTGCCTTTTTATTATAATTAAAGCAGGAGGAAACTCATTAGGTATTGTAATGGGGATTCAATTAAAATTGCCTTTGTAAATGAAGAGAGGTTCGTCGTTCCTTTGTAGGAAAAAAAAAAAAAAACAGAGGTTTTATCATAAGTCATTGTTCATACCAAATTAACTAAAAATGCAGAATCCACTCTGTAAATTATCAAGCCCATTTGTTTATATCAAAAAATGTTTGAGGGAAATCTATATATAAACATGTTCATTCTGTTTCCAAGCCCATTTGTCTTGTACTTTATATTTTCCCCCCTTTCCTAGGGCTTGGAAACAGAGAGCGAGCGAGCGAGCTTGTTGGGAGCTGTTGTGTCGTGGCAAGATTGGGTATTTTATTTTAAGGCAGTTTATGGATGTCTGGTACAGCTAGAGCTCAGAGCCGCTGCTGGTAGCCAGTAAGAGATGTATAGAGTCTTTCTGAATTCTGAGTGGTGCTTCTGTAAATTTCTGGGATGTCTATTCCTGGAGTAGTGTAGTGTGTAAAAGTTGTTTGGATGATCCAAACAGCAAACTTAACAAGTGTAATGACTTTCATGATTCATGAACCAAAAAAACAAGAAGCTACATATCTATTGTTTCAGTGATCACCCCACTCTGGTGGTACATTATTGATTATACTCCACAAGTACACACAACGAAGAACTAAAACCCCTATAGAGAGAAAAAGGTTGGTGCACAAACTAGGGGGCAACTGAGTACAGGCATCCGATTTGAAGGTCTATATGGTGGCCCCAAGACTGAAGTGTTTACATGTATATTCTCCTACACTTGATTCAATTTCCATTCAATCTGTAACAAAAATGTAGGGGATGGGATTCAAATTGTGAGTGCTGTTTCCACTCCAGAGTTTGTGCCAATTTCTCTCTTTCTCAAATGGATCAAAAGAAGCAGCAGTAGTGACGGGTGCTGCAACCCAATAAGAGGGTTAATGAGCATTTCACTCGTGTCATACAGATCATGTATAAATGGGCATTTGATTATGTGATTATTTGAATATAGTAGATTGAATTTGTTTCAAATTGAAATGATAGACTCATATTGTGTAGGCAAATCTTGAATTTCCCCTGTTCTGTATTTAATGAAACCCTAAATCCTAGTGTCTTATGTACATTTCCAGATGACTAGGGAGAGATGCCCATGTGTTAAGCTGAATAGGTGCTTCAGATTCCAGGGCAGCCACCCGGCCGATACCAGTTAGATCAAGAGGGACCAACCCTGGCAGGGCTCTGTGGGCCATTTCTCAGATATGTGCATGTCTGGATGAGGACGATGATGTTTGAGTCGATCCTCTTCTCCTTACTACTCTCTGGCAGGTCTCTGTGGACCATTTTTCGACCGATAAATACTTTGGAGGATTTGTAAGAATTTACAAAGAAAAAAAAAAAAAAGACTTTTTACAGTTTGAAGGAACTAAAGAAAGATAAGGAAAATGATTTTAGTGCCCAAGTAATAAGAAATTATTTAAAGTCGGATAATTTGATGATGGACATGACACTGAATAGAACAGAATGAAGAAATAGGTTTCATGTAGCCAGTTGGAATAAGGCTTAAATGATGATGATGGTTTTTGTTTCTTGGTAGCCTCTATTCCGATCCCAGTGCTAAAAGCCTAAAAGTGAATATAATATTGAGTAGAATACGGTGAGTATAACATGGGATTTATCTTATCATCAGGCATATATATTAGGTCTTATCCCATAGCCGCTGCCGAGTTTGAACTTTGAACAGTGGAATCTGTGGATCCAGCAATCACAATGTTCTGAGAACAATAAAAGCAACTTTTGAAGGAATAAATTTTAGGTCAATAGATATCAAAACATTAAAAACCCAAGCAAATAGGGCTGTTAATAGATCGGATTCTGGTCCAGTATGAATCCGTTACAGGTGGATCGAGCCCAATTCAATCCAATAAATATTCTGGATCATTCTGGGCCGGTCTAATTCAAAGTCTGGATCATCCAAAGTGTTCAAATGGTTTTAATTTAGATTGGGGTGCAATCCAAATCTGATCCATCGATTGACATCCAAAGTCTTATGTTATAGACCGGATATTGATTCAATTGTATGGGCTAGGTAAAATCTAATCGAATAAATATTTTGGACCATTAAGTCTGAAACGGTCCAATTCAATATATCTTATTGGATTCAAATTGAACCCAAACCTACGAGCAAGTTGCGCGTAGGACAGTTGTTGCTAACCTACTACCGTTTTTAGGTAAACAAATGTTCAATGGCTTATGATTACAAAGCGTCAATCAATTGCTGCTACTTTACTCTTTGGCTAAAGACAAGTAAATAATGACCAATATTGATAAGGAGGCCGGGATGCTAATCCCACTTCACTTTTGCTCCTACTTTTTTGTATCTGCTTGTTTCGGCCAATCAGCTTAGGGATGCTAAAGAAAAGTTAAACATGAGCAGTAGTGCTGACTGCTAAAGGAGGGATGCTAATTCCACTTCTCTTGTATTACTTTCAGCCAATGAAATGACCCAGATTAGGTAGGTGTCAAAAATTTATAGTGTGGTCTGTGGAGGTCATGCATTCTTCTTCTAAACGAGTTGGGTGTTGGCAATAGGAAGATGGTTGGATGTTAATGTTGATTTGGGTCAGGTTCGATCGGACTTATTAGGGGGTGGGGCTTATTTAACAAACAAGGATGAATTGTATATTTGGCCCAGATGGTATAATAGCCATTTACAGCATGCATTCATATACAACAGAGGATGCAAATCCTCCAAGGCAGAAAGGTTTTATTGATGTACAAAATACAAATAAAATTAATAAGTCTCTCTCCACTCTCCACTCTTCAGTCTCCAGTCTCCAGTCTCCACCTCGAATGTAGCTAAATTGTCTGCCAAATACGAATACATCGAGATGGAAGTTGTGGGATCCATTTGATAACCACTGAGACATGAGATAAGATTGCCTTTTATCCAATTTAGAGAAAATGGGCAAGCCACAATCATCCTCTGCGTGCACTAGCTGAGTCCGTTTCCACTACTATCCCATGAATGAGAGATGTTTGCTTCTTCAGCCTTTAATTAGCTACATATATCCTCCTCCTCCTCCTCACGTCCTACAAATGAGAGGGTAAGATTTCATCCATTAATTCTTGATTGTCCCAAATGTGTTGTTATCTTGAGAACTACTGTCAAACTGCAATTTTGTCTTTCCTCTGGACTGGAGATGGTAGAGGAGACTGACAAGGATATCAAAAACATTCCTGCTGCCAGCGTAGATATATATATATATATATATATATATATATATATAAGTAGGTCCGCGAATAATTTTGGCTTTGTCGGTTCGAATACAAATCATTTTATTAATTCATTATATAAGCTATTTTAGCTTTCTTTTATTAATGATATATAATATTTTCATAAATTTTAATTTAATTAATTAATTTATGGTATTTCAATATTCCAATATCCATTCGAGTTCCATTTAAATCCAGTAGGGGAGAGATGCTGCATAATTTGGTTTGCAGTAATAGGGGTCTAGAATCTGAATCCGAATGAGCTATTCTGATTTTAACTGTTTGATTGGGTGGAATTGAAATCCCATTTTCATTCTTGCCAGAATGACATTCTCCCATTTGAGTTCTTTGAAATGAAATCCCATTTTTATTGATTCAATGATTCTAATTCATATTTTCGTTTCTGTATGAATCAAACAAATTATGAGAATAAGTCATTTCAATTTTAATTCTTCAACTGCAAACCAAACGGACCCTTAATGCAATCTATAATTGAGTGCTAGTAATGTAAGTGATTGAAGTACTTGACGGAGGCACCAATAATTAATTTGCCTAGAAAATCAGGAGGAAAGCTGAAATCCCGTGCAAATTCCCTAGTTCTATTGTATATTTTTGTTTTTTTTTTTTTTTCTGTTTTAAGACATATAAGCGCCAATAGATATCAGGAAAGAGAAAACACTTCCCCCTAACAAAAACATGAAAGAGATGATTTATGGAAAAGCTAGCGATTTGATTTCATAGAAATCAAAACAAAGAATTGCAATCCTTTTTTTTTTTTATCTGAAATCAATCAACCAAATAAAAATCACTTGAAAATGTCTGTAAGAGGCTGACAAGGTGGTTTCTTTTTGAGAAAATGATTTCAGTACCAAACACCGTCGTAATTATAGTGTATTTTAGCAGCCACAACCACAAAGTCCTCCTTACTCTCAAACTGATGCATTAATTAGCTTTTTTTTTTTTTTTAACTCTTCCCGACTTTCTACGTTGGTTGGACCAAGATTAAGAGTTTGTTCCATGATTTTCAAAATCGGATCGGATGGTCAGATCAGAAAAACCGAGAATCGGTCAGGTCCGTTTTTCTCCAAAACCGATTTTTTATCAAAAAACATTGATTTAATCAGTAAATTACTGATTCGGGTGATTAAATCGTTTGAACCGTTCAATAGTTTTGATCATTTTTTATTTATTTTTATTTTTATCAAAACGGGCCATCCATTTACTGTCCGATTTGATTTTAAAAACCTTGGTTTGCTCTATAATAAAGACAACGGGCACAGTTAAACACATGTACATCTTTCAGTCTAAATTCCACTTCATTTGCTTTTCTATATTGTAGCTTGCTTCCTAATTAAGTTCCAAATATTTTTGTTTAATTGTACATATCACAAACAAATGGAATATATGGAGACTAGAGTCCCTTCTAAAGAAACAAAACATATTATTGCAAATCGAGTTTTTATATTTGAAAGGAATCGATCTGCAGACCATCACGAAATTATCTACAGTCGTCTTAATGTTCTAATGTGCAGCTGTGTGGTTTCAGGAAATGTGATCGCCTTGCTCTTTGTTCCGTTCACAGGTGGATATTAGGACGATTTAGGTGGATGTTACGATCACCTGATCCCAAGTAGAAAGCTTTTCAGAAACAAAGAGGCGTGGTACTATCATCATCCACGCCGTGAATAGGACAATTTCCTCTTTTATATGTAATGGAGCAAAGTCTTTATCTCCAGAAATGGGACAATTAGATTCATAGAATCATAGAATCATATATAGTGGGCTTATCTCAGAGTCTGACATTACCAAAATATTAAAAAAAAAAAAAAAGGAAAATCTGTGTCTGAGGGCCAGCAGTGAAACAAGTAATAGTGTAGTGGTTTTAACTTTCCAACTTGTTAAGAGAAGAAATAGTTAGAGATCATAATGTAGAAGATTAGGGTAGAGTTATCTTCTGTCGTCACTAAAAGTTTAGTACAGGCACAGTTCGATGGATATGGCACAAAAGGCCTACTATCACTTTCAACTTCTGTAACTCTTGGCTAGCTCTCCATTTTCATTGCCAGGTGTCTCCAACTACAAACAACTGGTGATTTGGTTCAACCAAAAGAAGACAAGAAAAACTAGAATAATAATATGCATAGCAAATCCTAGCCTTGCTAACAAATGACACGTGAAGAATGAATGATTATATTGCTACAATCTCCTTGCTGTCTTGTTATGGAATGGAATCGGAATCACTTCATTTCATTTTACCTGAGTTTTTCTTGAAAGCTTTTTGGGTCCCAGATGATAAGAATTACGCTTTTGTCACTAGCGATTGGGAGGCCATGGAGTGACCAACCAAGTACTGACTACATGACGCAGCGTGACGCGCTCGCCTTGCTAAAGAAAATTCTTGTGTGTCTTTAGGAAAATAGAATAACTAAAACAACTAGGACTTGAATTTGACGTCCACCGTTCGATAGCCACTATCATGTTGCATACGTGAACTTATCTGCCATTACCATTATCCGTTGCATGCATCCTTATCCGATGCGTGTTCCTCCCTAGATGTCGACGGCTGGTTTGACTGGTTCGGTGGGTCATGAGCTGACCCTCCATCATTCTCCCTCACTTGGAAAGAACTCGACCCCGAGTCATGATCGGGATATGCAAGTGTTGCTTCTGGTAAATAACGATGAAGATCAACAATATTAAATGTTTTGGAGATACCCATGTGATCTGGTAAGTCCACGACA